ACAACTAGGACCTGGATGACTGAGATTCTCCAGCAACATTTTAAACTGAAGATGGTTCCTTCCCTTCCACGTCTGCACCCATTGAGAAATCCGTATTACAAGTGTTTAGACACTTGAGTTCCTAGTAACATAATACAGTATATTTTGGAGCCCTCTTGTACTCATGGGTTCTGCTTGAACAACAGATGGATGTTTGTACTAAAGGAGAGTTCTACATATAATCAGATATTAAAAGAGGGGTGTAATCCAGAACTGGAGGCATGTGGTCATATGTAGCAGACTCTTCATTAAGAAGCTGAGCTGAAATTCAGCCTATCTTCTATGATTCGACTCTCAAGCTTAATTTAGAACAAAGTGCGTTCTCAGCTTATGTGACATGCCCTTGATAGAGTCGGAGTTTGAGGGAGAGGAGGAACAGCCAACAGGAAGTGGACCTTTATTGAATCGCCTCAGATTTCTGTTTTGACCCCTTCTCCTTGGATGACAAGGATTCACTACAGATGACCATACCATAGATATTTGAAGACACAATTATCAAGGAATCTGGAGTTCTTCATTCTATAAATTTCAATGAACAAGTATTTCAGATTTGTATAGCATAACATGATAGTGTTTTTGATTATTACTTGACCAGAAGGCTTTAGGAATTAAGGTGATGCAGATATCAAGCATAATTAGAAGTTCTGTGTTCTTCAGAACAAAGAGCGACTTTGCTTTTTAACAGCAGGACAGTAGAGGGCATCAGAGACCTACTTTTTGTTAGGTTCATAGTTCTAGAGATTTTAGACATTTTTTATAGATTTTTTATTTGCAACCGACCCACACACCTGACAATATAGATTTTAGCCAGGTTTAAAATCGATGAAATCCACATGTGTAAAGCTGGGAAACAGGATTGCTAGTAAGCTGTAACATTACTATTTTTTCTATTGTACATCTTCGGATCATTTCCCCCACAAGCTTAAAACTAAAAAAAACCTGAAATGTCAGAATAAAGCCAAAAATCAACTTCTTATTCCTTTCTAATAATGTAAAATACAAAAAAAAAAGAAGCTGAATTTGCATGGGGTGCAATATTTAATATGATATAGATGCTTAAGAAATTACTTGTGTAAATCACACAAGGAAGTATTAAGGAAGTAAAATCCTATATATGATTCACGGGTTTCATATTTAATTTCCTTTCATTTTTTTTTCTTTCCTTTCCTTTCCTTTTGTTTATATGCATTTTAATTCCGTTCTTTCAATTTTCCATAAAATTTTCATTGGCGAAGCTGTCTTTCACGGGGAATTGGAGGTGGGGAATTACAGGTATCCTCATTTCTGCTCTTGGAGTGATTTCAAATATTCTGGAACGGTCTGAGACAATCTAGGCATACTAGGAAGGTGTGTATCCTACCAGGGAAGTGGATCTCTGTGGTCTATGTCTAAAAATTTGAATTTATTCATTTCTTTTATTCATCCATTTGTTTTATTTGTTTATTTATTTATGCTTTGAATTTATTTATTGTTTTATTTAATATGCTACCCACCTGGTGGGTCTCTGCTGTCTGTGTTAAAAATTGAATTTATTTATTTATTTAGTTAAGTATTTATTTATTTAATAAGGTACCCCTCTGGTGGGTCTCTACTGTCTGTTTAAAAATTGAATTTATTTATTTGCTTATTCATTTATGTATTTATTACCTGCTTATTTGCTTGTTTGTTTGCTTCCTTGCTTGTTTATTTATTTAATATGCCACCCAACTCGCCTAGAGGAGACTCTAGGTGGCTTACTATCAAAACACAACATTAAACTAATAAATATTAGCAGTACAATTGTTTTTTATCTCAGTGCTTGGAGGCTGTGGTAAGCTAGATAAGAATGAACAGGCTTCCACTCTCAACCCTAGCCAGATGGACTGGCTTTGAGTATTAGGGCATCCTGGATCTGATGATTTTTCCATCCTTAAACACTGGATGAGGTTGCAGTATTCCAGACAGAATGGGGGCACAGTTGGAAGGTTCTCTTTGATGTATAGCTCCTTGACAGAAGAATCTGGCGGGGAGGGGGAAGCTGTGACTGGAGGTTGATGTACCAATTGTGTCCCTTCCTAGATCAGAAGACATGACACATAGCTGTTCATGGTTCAGTCCCATCCCAAGTGGATTACTGCAGTGCTCTCTACATGATACTTGCCTCTGAAGAACATCTGGAATTTCAGTTAGTCCAAAATGCAGTGGTATGGGCAAGGATGGATGTGTAGTATTGTCTATGGAGATTCTCAGGCATCCATGTCATGGTTGTCCCAAAGGTGCTTTTTTCAAGAGGCAACTGGACTTTCTTTTTCTTTGAAGACGTTCCACTTCTCATCCAAGAAGCTTCTTCAGCCCTGACTGGATGGTGGGGAATGGAAGGATTTATATTCCTTGCAGACAGATTTATATCTGAGGACACAGATAAACCTCCAGGTGGCCTCAATGACTCTCTAAACAGATGCAAATGACCAGCTGTCTGCAAGGAGTATAAATCCTTCCATTCCCACCCCCCCTCAAATTCCGCTTAGCGTCGAAGAAGCTTCTTGGATTAGAAGTGAAATGTCTTCAAAGAAAAAAAACAAAAAGTCCAGTTGCCTCTTGAGGTGAGGGGAAGCACCTTTGGGATGTGTGGTATTATGCCCATGTTACTGGCTCTCAGGTGTGATTCAAAGTTCTGGTTAATATTTATACAGTTTTGGATAGCACCGGCCCACATTTTCAAGGAACAGCCTTATTCCCGTTGTTTCATTCTCCTGATTAATTTGGTTATGAAGGGCACCTTCTGAGTCCTGTCAATCAGGATTGTCATCTGGCAGGATCTGGGAACTGAACCTTTTCTGTGAAACATCTTACCACCTAGCTTTGTTTGGCTGTTCTTCTCAACATGTCCATCTTTTGGAAAGCCTTGAAGCCCTGATTATTTCCCCAGGCATTTGGGCCAGGAAAATAATTGAGCTGGTAAAGGATGTGTCAGCTTTGGAAGCCATATTGAGATCAGATGCTCCCACGCTGCCACATCTGAACCTTGGAAAGTAGGAGTGGGGAATTTATTGGAGTATATCTAGTGAGACATAATAACATTCTTTTTTTTCTGATTCAAGGTCAGGGGGTGTTTCACATAAGTGTTCTGATCCAACCCTGTTACCAGCAAGAAAATCTCAAACAAACGCAGCAACTCAAACCTTCTCAGCTTTAATCTACAAATAACTTCTTTGTAGATAAAAGATGGCTTGCAACCAATTAGTCCAACCAGAAAAGCCTTGACAGAATTCTTCAGATAAGCCGGAGTCTCCACACATAACGCTGCGTCCTTAGAACGTTTTTGCTTTCTGCAAAAGCAAAAACCTTTTGAAACCAGGCTTATATTCCCTGGAGGGAGGGGCCATTACGTTGCATCCTTACTCCTGAGTCGCCTGTGCTGCTCCAGCTGTTCTCTTCTACAAATCATCCTGTGCTCGCACGCACTTGGCACAGGCTCCTCAGGAACCTCCTCATCACTGCTGCCAGCCCCCACAATCTCTGAAGGCAGCAGTCCACTCCCTGATGGTCCTGGCCCCTCATCAGAGTCCTCGCTCTCCTCAGCCATCTGCACTTGCTGCCGGATAACCACAACAATAAGTGAGAGGAAGTCATAACTTGGAATGGATGGTGATTGGGCCATGTGATGTGATAATGGGTGCAGGGGATGGATTTTGTAGTTTTTAGTTATTGTAAGGAAACCCGGAACTTTCAGATTCAGTTGTTGTGCCAGTTACTATCCAAATAAAAAGGAACCTTTGAGAAGATGTCTGTCTCGGAGTTATTGGGCAGAATGGAAGGTTGCTGGAATGCTGACATTATGTGTCCAAGAGCCACTTTGTGACATTATGTGTCCAAGAGCCACTTTGTGTTATTTGGCTGGGAATAGTATCAATATAAAAATGAGTAGGGAGTTACCTGAATGTAAGATACCCCACTGCAGCCCAATACTTAGGTAATTATTTGAGGAAAAGAAATCTGATATTTCAGTGGAGATTCTCAGTCATCCAAGTCATGGTTGTCCCAAAGTTGTTTTTTCAAAAGGCAGATGGACTTACTTTTTTTTTTTTGCTTGAAGACCTTTCGCTTCTCATCCAAGAAGCTCCTTCCGTTCTGCCTGAATTCTCTTCTGTGGAGAATGGAAGGGTTTATATTTATATTCCAATATAAATCTTCCATTCTCTTCAATTAAAACTGAAGAAGCTTCTTGGATGAGAAGCAAAATGTCTTCAAGCAAAAGGAAGGAAGGAAGGAAGGAAGGAAGGAAGGAAGGAAGGAAGGAAGGGAAAGAAAGTCCTGCTGCCTTTTTGGGACGTCCGATCTTTCAATTAAGTGATTTTTTTTTTCATCCATTCTAACTCCTGATAATTTTCTGCCCATTTATTTGCAAGATTTTGGAAGTGGTTTGTCCTTGCTTCTTTTTTTTAGGGCTGACAAAGAGTGACTAGTCCAAAATCACCCAACTGGCTTTGCACCTAAGGCAGGACTAAAGCACACCCCCACAGCAACATTGGTAGGGCAAGCTACTGTATACAAAATAGTCAACAAACCCCACACGCACTAGCACTGATGATGTTATCTAGTTTGCAACTAAGCTTAGAGAGCACAAAGAATAGATAAAAATCTGCAGGACACTGATTTTCACTACAATATTTATTATTATTTTAAAAGCTAACATAACTGGTTTTCTAGTTGGTACATTTTTTAAAAAAACATGATGAAAGTGATGTCTAGGATTTGCTTTAAAAATTAGTAATATATACTGCTTCAAAACATTCTCATTGAGCACTTAGTGATACCTATGTTTAGGTTCACTATTATCTATGTTTACCTATGACACCTATGTTTATTTGTGTTTTTCAAAAATTACAACTATATTGGGTTATTTATTTATTTAGCGTATAACAACTGTATCGAGTGTTCCTGCCCAATATATTTACAATGTGTAA